TAATGTATTGTACATCATATATTTCCTGACTTTAAAAAACAAAAACATTCGAACTGCATGCTAAATTATGAATATAGGTAGTTAAAATTATTACCTACCCTTACAAAAATTCCACATGATTTCACATGTGTGAAATTTCACATGTGAATTTGGAACATGTGATTTTTCATATGTGAAATTTCACATGTGAAATTATGTTTCACATGTTCCAAATTCACATGTGTTCACATGTGAAAAATCACATGTTCCAAATTCACATGTTCCAAATTCACATGTGAAATTTCACATGTGAAACTTCACATGTGAAACACATAATTTCACATGTATTCACATGTGAAAAGTCACATGTTCCAAATTCACATGTTCCAAATTCACATGTGAAATTTCACATGTGAAACTTCAAATGTGAAACACATAATTTCACATGTGTTCACATGTGAAAAGTCACATGTTCCAAATTCACATGTTCCAAATTCACATGAGAAACTTCACATGTGAAACACATAATTTCACATGTGTTGAAATTATGCTTCAATCATGCACAGTTAAACCTGTCAAACAGTGAGATACTGTAATGGTATATATACTGTAGGAAGTTTAAATAATTTATTTATACAGTTAATTGCTACAAATGTTTAGGTACCATACAAAATAATTTATAATAAGGAAAAAACTTAGCAGTTCAAATGTCTTTTGCAATTTTTCTTCTTTTCGTATCAGCATTTCTTTTGTCTTTGCACTTTTGGGCCATGGCAGCTTTCACTGATGAGGCTGTTGCTCCCGCAAAACATTTAGTCACATGAGCTACAAGAAAGGAAATACAAGACTATCATTAGCTGTACATAATGTATTTCATGTACCGGTACTGGAACTACACAGTCAGTTAACATTACAGTATATAGCACAAGTTCACAGTTCACATGCAGCAATATGAGCAATTTCCTCCTATCCAACCTATAAACTTTGCACCTTATTACGAATGGGAAGACCTAAATAAATGTAGTTAGTAGCACAAGCTAACCTTTGGTTGACGTTGTTTCTAGTATTATCATAATTGATAACCCTTGGTTCATATGGCTTTTACCCTGACTCGTCCCCAGTAATGTATTCTCTGTGTGGGCGATACATGGCAAATTGGAAACTGCTGCAAGGCTATCTTCTCAACAAGTAAAACTGTAAAATTTCCTGCCATTAGACAGAGTAATATAAAGTAGAGCATATTGCCAGTGAATGGGTTAACAAAAGAAATATGCACTAGATAGGATTTGTTAACAGACATCTCAACAGCACCCCAATATTTTGAGGTATCTGCTACTGGTTGTTGGCATTTGTGATTTAATATGCTATTGGCTCGTTCCAGAAACATTCATTAGATTCATAAGATTATATGATTTAACCTTAGTTATATTGGAGATGAGTGCTACTTGTTTCAGTGACCCACTGAGTGATATCACTGACAAGTAAAATCATCTGACAATGGGTCATTCCAGCGAACATCAATACCTACAGTACATGTAACCTCCCCCATGAAGGAAATTGGAAGTTAACCCCCTATCCCCTTCGAAATTCAAATGTCCTTATACACTTCAGAAACAATTTTTTCTCCCCTCGCCTCCCCTCCGGACGGTTGAAATTTCCTCTGTGCCCAGGGGAGAGTGGATCTTTTCTGGAACAACCCATCAGACACAGTAAAAGAACAAAGTTGTGGCACAATGCAGCTTATGCCATGTCCGGCCTAGTATAATATCCAGTTAACTCCCCATCTTAATGACCTGCCAAACTTCTTGAGAAGTACAGGGTATTCCTGTTTTGTTGGGTTAATATGGCCATGTGTCTAGTGAGCCCATTAAGTTGTATTGTATTCACATGTGAAATTTCACTTGTAATCAGTGGCGGGGAGGGGGGCAGGGGATACCCCAATTATATTTTGCCCACCTCCACATTTTGCCCCCCCCCCCTCATTGTTTTTACAGTTTCAATATTATTTTGTAAGTCTCTGAATGGTAAAACTTGCCAATACTCCAATAATACGTTTCAAAAAACTGAAAAAGGCAAAAAAGCTTTAGTTTTACTGAGTTAAATTCTCAAACATCTAAGGCACTGATAAGATGAACGTATCACGAAATTTGAATAAACCACATCTCATATATGGGGCGAATAACCTAAAGGGGGTCGATATTCCTATGGTTGGGGAGGGAGGCGAATCTCCTTGAGGGGGGTCCTATGACAACGGCATGGGCAAATAGCACTACCTATTTGACAATTCTACCTCGTCCCCCCCCCCAAAAAAAAAAATATGAGTTTGCCCTCAAATCCCCCCAACCCCAATTCCGGAGGCCTGGCGCCGCCACTGCTTCTAATTTCATGTGAAATCCTTTCGCATATGAAATTTCATTGTAATTTTCAATTTCATGTGAATTCTTTCACATGTGAAATTTCATTGTAATTTTTAATTTCATGTGAAACCTTTCGCATGTGAAATTTCATTGTAAATTTGTAATTTGTAATTTCTTGTGAAACCTTTCACATGTGAAATTTCAGTCGTAATTTCATGTGAAATTCTTTCACGTACATGCGAAATTTCACTTTGTAATTTGTAATGTTATGTGAAATCCTTATCTTTTCACATGTGAAATTTCTCTTGTAATTTTCATGCGAAATCTTTTCACATATGTGAAATTTCACTTGCACATGTAATTTGTAATTTTATGAGAAGTCCTTTCACATGTGAAATTTCAGTCGAAATTTCATGTGAAATCCTTTCACGTACATGTGAAATTTCACTTTGTAATTTGTAATTCATGTGAAAATGTCATCTTTTCACATGTGAAATTTCAGGCGTAATTTCATGTGAAATCCTGTCACGTACACGTTAAATTTCACTTTGTAATTTGTAATTCATGTGAAATCCTTATCTTTTCACATGTGAAATTTCACTTGTAATTTCATGTGAAATCCTTTCACGTACATGTGAAATTTTACTTTGTAATTTGTAATTCATGTGAAATCGGCATCTTTTCACATGTGAAATTTCAGTCGTAATTTCATGTGAAATCCTGTCACGTACATGTGAAATTTCACTTTGTAATTTGTAATTCATGTGAAATCCTTATCTTTTCACATGTGAAATTTCACTTGTAATTTCATGTGAAATCCTTTCACGTACATGTGAAATTTGACTTTGTCAGTTTGTAACGTTTATGTGAAATTCTTTCACATGTGAAATTTCACTTGTGATTTCATGTGAAATATTTTCACATGTGAAATGTCACATGTGATTCCATGTGAAATTCTTTCACATGTGAAATGTCACATGTGATTTCATGTGAAATCTTTTCAGATGTTAAATGTCACATGTGATTTCATGTGAAATCTTTTCACATGTGAAATGTCACATGTGATTTCATGTGAAATCCTTTCATTTGTGAAATTTCACATGTGATTTCATGTGAAATTTTTTCACATGTTAAATTTCACATAAGATCACATAATTTCACATGTTATCACATGATTTCACATGAAATCACACGTGTGAATTCATGTGGATTTTTTGTAAGGGTAGGGACCTTAAACAAAAGCATTTTTGTTTCTAAAAGGTTCCTAGCCCTAATTTTGTAAATATTTAATTATAATAACTTACTGACCGAGAGTGAGGGCTGTACGGGAAAATATCCAACCGAGCGATAGCGAGGTCAATACAGCAAGACCGAGGTTGGATATTTTCCCGTACTGCCCGAACGGTTGAGGTCAGTAAGTTTTTTATTATATGGCATTGTACGTTTGTAAAAAATGGGGAAAAAATATCACGCGAGGGCATAGTACAAAGTCCGAAACATTTGCAAAAAAGAACAATTGTAAAAAATGTTCTCAAGCTTGGTTAGTAAAACTACTCTACAGCACTTTTTATATAGAATACAAACACAGTTGGATAATATTTCAAGAAAAATACGAGGTATTTCGTCATTTAATCAAAGACAAAGACAACAAATATGAAAACAATAAAATTAATAAACAGTATGGACAAGTACGTTTTTAGTCCGCTTCATCTCATAAATATATCTCTTTTTATCGAAAAACCACAGAAATTTTCAGGGGAAAAATATAAATCTGTGGCTGCTTTAGTTGTATTTTTTATTTAGGATGGTGTCAAATTCCTCGGCTATCTACAAATAAGATTTGCAGCTCTTCACAAAGTCAAAACACAGCTATTCCTGACTTCTTTAATAGTTATAAACATTGTAAAATTTACCTTGTAATTTCGACTTTCGCTAACAAAAACATATTGAGAAAGTTCTTTAACCAAAGAAGGTGCTCCATTTCTTTAGTTTAGGTTTATTTTTCTTCGTTTTGAATAGTTTGAGAGACTTTTGGACACTTTTTGCCGTTTGAAACTCGGGTCTTGTCGCGTGGCAAAAAATTGCGTATTGCCTGTGGGCAATACGGGAAAATCCTGCCTCGTCAGCAGCCAATCAAATTGCGCGATTCATCAAAACAAATGCTTGCCATATAATAATAATTCTTAATTCTCGGGAGGAGTTTTGTGGAGATACATAAACTGAACATATGTAGATATCATGGGACATTTTAAAAAAGGATTTATCTAACTTCCACCATACAAACTCTTCAGAACTATCCTTCTCTAAAAATTTAATTCCTTTTCTCAGGTTGGAACGAACGAGGATAGTTATTCCACCTGAACCTCTACGTGATCGTTGGGATATGTCTTTTCTGCACATTGAAAACGATTTGTAACCTGGGATATTGATATTATTAAAACCATAAGGTAGCCAAGTTTCTACTAGTGTAATTAGATCAAAATTTGTGATTTTGGAGATAAAATCTGAGTCATCTAGTTTTGCAGATAAGCCTTCAATATTCCAAGTACCAATTTATAGAAAATCTCTTGCCATTATTTTTAGTAACTTTGATCTTAGGAACTGCTATTGAAATATGTTTATGTATGGTTATATAATAATCTAGGATTGTAGACTGGTAATTGTTTATACATTAATTACCCTCAGTAATTCTGGTTGACCAAAGTTGAAAATTGAAACGAAATGGTTAAGCAAATTGTTCATATTCTGCAGTTGTTCTTGGACTGTAACTGTGTGTTTCAATGTTGAGGTTTCGATTTGGGCGTTTACAGAAGGTTGGTTGAGTGGTGACATTGGGACTGGTGCTGGTGGAGTTGTTTCTGGTGCCATGGTGTGAGATTGGTTTCTTGCTTGCGGTTGCGGATTCGATGTTTGTTGGCAGCTATTTCCTTGTCGCTGTTGGGGGCAGAGAGCACGGCGTAGATAATTTTTTAAATTTTTTGCTAGTAAAGGAATTCCCAATCTCTTGCTGAGGTGCTTTGTGTCACAGAAAAATTTGTATTGCCTCAGATTCCCGTTGTAGACGTGCTGTACATTGGGTAAATCTTTGATCCTTTCGTGGATGTCATTGTTGATATTGATTATAGCTTGATCAAGATTATCAGTCCGACGGGTAATATCAGAGAAAATTATTTTTCTTCCTGGAAAATTGTGGGACGCGGCTTCAACCAAATGAACTTGATCTTCAATGATTTTTTCGGGTTTTAAATGTTCAACATCATTAACTCCTGTATTGATTATCAAAGCTTGATTATCTGTGAATTTTGGATTATTTATATGATTTCAGTTGCCTTTTTTGTGTTACCACAGGCGATCATTTTGGTGTTATTAGATGAGCATTGCTTATTAATGTCTAGGTATCTTCGATTCGAATCACACAACATGACAAAGTCATAATTAGGAGTTTTTTGAGTCTCCGCGTTTGTGTTCTGTGATGTAATTTCTTTATTATTCTCCTGGAGTTCTGTTTCGCAATGTGTTACGCTCTTTAATTCTTCCGGGTTTTCTACGTCATTTCTACTGGATTCTGCAATATCGGTTTTCGTCAGATCTTCGAGTTGAACAACTAAATCAGTTTCATTTGATTGGTCATCTAAATAATTTTCATTTGTCGGCTTTCCAGAATTTTGGCTTGTCGAAAATGGTGCTTTGTTAACGGTGTCGCATTTCTTGGCTTGTTCTTCGAGAACTGTGATTCTCTTGATAAGGTTGCACTTTTCGTCAATAAGGGAGGCTACTCGACCCCGTAATTGGTTGATTTCTTTTTCCTTCTGAACCAAGAGATCGTTCGCTTCATCTTTAAAAATGCTCTGGTCTTTTTTAAATATGTTCAGTTCGTGATTTAGAAAGCTTTTCAGCGAATCTGATAGTTCGCCTTTGGTTGACAAAAATTACTTTTGAGGTTTTTAATCTCAAAGTCTGATTCAGCAGAACTTTTATCTAATTTTGAAATGATGTTCTCTAAATTTTCCAATCGGTTATTGTATGTTTTAAAATATTCAAGAATACGTGGAATATCGATTTTATCGTGGTTTTCTTCACTTGGTGTGGTTCCGGATTGGAGTTTGTTATGGCGTCGCTTCTTGTTGTTAATTAATGGTGAGGAAATCCTGGATGAAGTGTGATGGGATTCTCGTGGCTTTTTTTGTGTTTTATGTGATGATTTTGTCGTCGGAGTTTGTTTAGGTGCAAATTCGTCCTTCATTTCACTTTCGTTTTCCGAATCCGCGTAGATGTCTGAGGAGACTCCTTCGAGATTAATATTGGCTTTTGAAATATCTTCGTTGTCATAAAACACCTTGTCGTATATCCGACTAATCACCTGTTGGAGGATAGTTATACGTATGTACGAAGTATGTACGAAGTTATACGTATGTACGTGGAGTATGTACGAAGGATAGTTATATTTTTGTATAGTCTTTATTTATAGCCTTCATTTTGTTGGACAAAATGGTCCTACCGAAGAACATCTAGACCCTGCATCTGCAGCAATAACTAGTTCGGAGATTAATAATCCTAATCTCGGTCTTAGCATATGAAATAAACGCAACATTAAAATGCGTACGATATGTAAAAAATATTTATAAGCTGCTGCTAGACTTTGCTTGTCATATTCTGACGAGTGATATATGAGATGATTAAATATATCAAACAAGGCGAGAATGCTTAAAATAGTTTAAAACATTCATTTTGAAAGTATCAGGCAGCTGAATATCGTGAACTTTCAATCGACGGCTTAGATCTAACTGGTCTTCGGCTTCACTGACTTGAAAAAGCAATCGGAAAAACTCATTTCTTCGACGGCACAAGCAATAGCTATCTAAGCTACGAGTCCGGGTTTGAGGTAAACTGTTAACGGTAATTCCTCGATTTTGTAAGTGCGTTTTGAGCCCCGGCAGCTTCATGGCTTTGAATTTCTCTTCTCGTGACATATTTTCCATTTTGACTATTGTTTCGTAACGAAAGCGAGCAAATTTATCTATTAAATGGCAGAAACCTTTGTGTATTTTGAATAGCATTTGTATTACGCTCTGCCATGTTTGTCCGAGTTTCCGATTTCGCGAGCACGTGTTTCCACATAACACAAAACCGCCAAAGTGGTCTATTACACTGCCTCGTCCCCAGGCGTTAATAAAAAATTTCATGCGAGTCACTATATGAAAGGTTTACATGAAGTAGTGCATCGCGACGAACAAGCGCAGGGGGTTATGGGCTTGAGGCATCGAAATTGAGGAGCGCCTGGGAGATCTTGTGCCGTTTCTTGCAAAATTCGTCTGTTTCTTGCAAATCATGGTTTTTCGACAGTTTGGGGGCTTTCTTCGCCATTTGTTTTGAGGAAACAACATTTCAAATTGTTCAATTAAACATGTGATTACAGTGATACAGTCAGATGATATTTGATATCATATATTTAACGCTTTAAATGATTCCGAGATGTCAACACTAGAAGAATTCAACGAGGCTACAGAAGCCGGTTTATCAGGCGGTGTGCGAACTGGCAGCGCAAAGCATGATGGGCGAACATTTTCCAATATGGCGACGAAAGAGTTGTAATCTGGTAAGTTTTCAGGCTTGTTTTCTCGTTTATTTTATCAGTATAACGTTAGGCATTGTACTTTATTTACACGATGTCTTATAAAAGTAAAGATGTGTTTTCAAGATAAAATTTTCATATATTGAACGCGTGCAGACACGTAACAAATAGACGCACTCATGTGGTGAAATTTTAACTCCTACTTTGGGTTGCACTAAGAATTTGTCGGTGAAAGTTTGACACGCGAAAATAGCCTTAATCGATTGTTTAACTCTTTGTTTAGATCGGTGTATGAACGCTCTCGAACGCTCTCCATTGCATCATGTAATATTTCGGTTTTGAGTTATGTCCTAGACTACTAGTGGCCAGTACCGGCCCACTAATATGGCTTCTAAACGGCCTATCGTTGTGGAAGGCAATACGCCAGGTAAGCCTGAAAATAAACGAGTAGTAACTAAAGGAACTTCGAGAAAAAGCCTTTTTTCCGAAAAACCCAAGTCGTCTGGACACAGGGAATGGTCAGAAGAAGGAACTTCTGCTTTAGTACAGTATATTTGTTTATATTGGGAAGATGCCTACTCGGACCGATGGCTTATGCAAAGTGACACAAAATTCTGGGATGCTGTGGCAGGTGCAATGAACAAGGCATGCAACTCTACTAGAACAGGTTAGCAAAATGTTAATGTTTTATAGCATATCTATTATTTATAATTTTAAGCATGATAAAGGAGGATAAACAGAAATTTGGCTATTTTGGCACATGTGGGGATTTTATTATATACTGACTAATTTATCAGCAGTCAGGTCAAGTATTTTAGTATTATATTGGTGTTAGATGTTAGTGGTATAAAATGCTTTTATTTTCGGTTGCACTCAGCGAGCATGCCATTGCCTTGCCCAAGCCCCAAGGATTAATGTTATTAAATGTTCCCGAAATACTGTACATACAGTATAGTGCAATAGCTAGTGTTCATCATTCTGTTTCCTTTCAAAGGTCCATCATGTCGCAGAAGGCATGAACTTTGATGAACAGAGGCAGAGGAGGCACTGAACATTGACTACCTGCTCAATTCCTCCTCATTTGATGATAATAATTCTTGCCCAAGTAGTCCACCAAGATTTGTCAATGATGAATGTTTATCACCTATCTTCAACTGTTCCCCAAATGCTGGTACAAAAAGACATACAAGTTCTGTTACTGTTGGCGATGTAATAAAAGATTTTGTATCATGTTTTTCAAGCTCAATGTCATTGCGGATAAAGATACAAGTATTGCATCACATATTTAAGCAGTGTGTTATTGCTGAAGATGGCCAAGACTCCTTCAGATTTGTCAACAATGATTTCCTGACAAGAAGCCTTGGTGCAATGAAAACACTCTTTCGTGAGAGTAAACCCAATCTTATTTATGGCTTAAGCAAGTGTTTTGAAGGTACAAGCCCAAGAATGTCTTTAAATCGAATGGCATATGGTTTGATCGATTACAATATCCGCTTCTTTGCCAGTGATACAACAGTTAATCTTCATATGGAAGAACATTATGCCTCATGGCTGGAGACAATGTATACTCAGTTTGGCCATAAGTGGTTATGTCTACATTGGAGACCAATGTGGCAGTATGAGAGAGGTGCATACTCGGAAAAAGATTTGCCAACTGCAAATGATCTTGAACATAGTACTGATGTGGTAGAAGTTGACATTATCCAAGAGGCATTGCAGCATTCATCAATTGATTTGGATACAGCTCCTCCTGTCAACATGGAAGAAGGTCTTGAAATATTTGGACATGTCGACCTCTGCATGTGCAACTTGTCTATTAGTGACAATGCAGTAACCACACCTACAAGCTGTGAAGATCTCCAAACTGATTCCCCCAGTATTCCTTCTTCAGAATTTCTCAATGAAGAAGAACCTTAAAGTTTGCAGGTGCTACATTTGTGGACTTCCATATCTAAAGGGAGGAGAAACAGGATATGGCCCTGGGATTGGTTTCTTCACAACTTTCTTGTAAAGAATTGGAAAAATTACATGGTGTACAAGCCACAGGCAAGAGGAGTCGTCGACAACACAACCCTGATATACATATATGATCCTTTGAAGGTCAGTTGTATTACAAATACTGTATTTATTCGTTTGAACTGAGCACCGCGGCGCTTTTTAAAATTTTAGAGTTTTTGATGCAGTGCTTATTTGAGGGTGACGCTCTTTAAAATGGAGTTATTAAGTATATTAAAGATTGAGATAGGTGGCGGCACTCAAACAATTAAATGTGGTACGGTTGTACCAATTATTCTAAATATAGGCAGCACAATTTAACATACTTCATTAGTCAAATATGAGCATCTTGTTGGAAGTATGTTTTGTGGTCTATTGTTGGTGGGAAATATATTCTAATACTGTAATAGTTTATAGTATCATCTGTCAATATTGTATGGCTTGTCATATGTACAGTACATGTACTGTCATGAAATTATTTTTGTCTATCTTATATCTAGGCACACTGGATAACAAAAAAAAAACATCCTGATAATTTTTGCAATTAATTTTATATTTATAGAGTAAGGTTAACATTGCAAGTATAAGTGCTCGACAGATTCAAAAGCGCATTGGGTCTTCAGGATTCACAAAAACTGTTGATACTCAATCATTGCCTTTTTAGCTTTTGTGCAATACATCTACTCCTGGGTAAATTACCTCTTGTCTCTGTAGTTAACCCATTAAGATGGAATGTACCCTAATGAGAAGTCATGGGAAAAGTTTTGCATTTTAATTATTAACATCACTGTATGTGGACCGACAAATCTATCACCTGTTTGTGTTAGGCTCAAATTAGCTTTTATATTTGTTTATGAACAACTGGTCATAATTCCCCCATGACCTGTCAGTGTGCTCAAATGTGGCCTGCTTTAGTTTTTACTCTTACTAACACCAGACGATTTTACTTGTCAGTGGAAGAGTACTGCCAGTAAATCGGTTTACTTGACATTATTTTCAATATTTCAATCCTTAGGTGGAGACACTCAAGAAAGCTAAAGAAGCAAATCCGCAGGGACGGTGGTGGATCAAGGCAGATGGTTGCGATATTCGGAAAGGTTTAAGAGAAAGTGTCCGTGGAACGTGGGCTGGAGACGAGGATTTGGGTGATGGGTCATTGCATGAAATATTGTTTAATGTATACAAGGAAAGATGTTCATTTGTTAGGAGTATTGGTACATCTGTGAGATTGAATTGGACATTTAAAGATATAGACAAATTGAAAAGTGACCTACAGCATGATTTAGATTTTCTAAAAACTGGTTCCAAAACTGCAAACTTAGCATACACTAAAGCAGTTAAAGAGGGTAGGACAATCGAGAAATCAATGATGGAATTGGCTTGGACTGCTATTGGATTTGATGATTTCACAGGCTACTGATCACTGGCCTCACACTTCATTGAAAATATCGCGCAACCGATGAGTCAAAGCTGTTATATCGTGGCTGTTTGGCATCATTTGAAAACAGAAAATTTTGCATTAAATTAAGCAAATTTTGCATAAAATTAAGCAAAGTGCAATCGCGAAAAAATACCGATATATCGGTATTTTATTTCCGGTATCGATTTTCGTTTTTTTTCAAATACCGCAACAGCCTAGAAAACACCATATATTTATATTTCTGCAGAGCTTTCAATCTGTGGGCCAGTGGACCTACATAAGTGCAAATATAAAACAGAATTGAACGAACTGTCAACATTACTTGCACTGGTGAAGGGATCTGGCTGCACAGATCCAAAGCTCTGCAGAAATAAAAATATGTGGTGTTTTTCACAAAACTTGTTTATCGAATGATCATCACACCATGCAAACATACAAAGTCAAAGAACATATATTTATTGTAATTAGTTGACCACTAAGGCCCCGTTCACACTAGGCCGGTCAAATGTGGAACTGGACAAATATTTGCACGATTACGCCTTCACACATGATCAAATGAAACCAAACAAATCCTAGCACTGCTAAACACACAGATTCAAGCACCAAAAAAATTAGGTCCCCAATTCGTCTCGTACAGCATTTGTCTGGTCTTTTGTGAACAGGGTCTAATTTACTCTTTTGCTGGCGCTGGTACAAAAACGAATCTTTTTCACAGATACATCAAGTATAATCTATAGACAATCATTTAATTCACGGTATAAGGATACTTCCCACAGAGATAATGGACATCTTCAGGAAGATCGACCTCACATTTCTCCAGGGGAGAAGAGTTGGTATTCAAGTCGTTGAGTTGAGTTGGTATTCAAGTCAAATACTGTTTGGTGTTTGAAAACTGTCTCAACCTTGCTGAAACCATTTTTGTAGTCCTCTGCAGTTCCTCCTTTCTTTATCAATAGTTCCTACAAATCCTCAGTCGAATGTTTTACAAAACAAAATTCTGTGTGTATGCCAACACCTTTCACATTTGTAAGGTAGTTGCAACCAGCGGCTATACACATTTGCCGAAACTGTTCGTGGTTTAGATTAAAATCATCCAATATCTCTTTAAGTTGGAAATATTCACCATCTCCACTTAGTTTGAGTTTAACCATCACCTAATTGTCAGATAAGTAAATAAATTAGTTTTCTAACTTCTTGCAAACTTATGCATCAGTCATTCAAAAAATCCTGTACCCCCTCCCCCCACCCCCCTAGGCACAAAGGGGAAAAACTAGTGAATAGAATAGGAGGCAGTGGCGTAGACAGACTATAATTTCCGGGGGGCATATATCGAACGCCGAAGGCGTAAGCCTTTTTAGGGGGGTCCGGAGGCATTATCCCCCGGGAAAATTTTGAAATCTGGAGTCCCTCAATGGCGATTTCCCGTGTTGCTGGGGTGAGATTTTCCATAATTCTGAAGATTATTTACTGCAGGAAAGACCTGATTTTTAATGATTTCTCAATATTGTGGATCCTTAATTTGACTCAATCAATAACCACCATAGGCATTATTTTCTGTAGTTAGATTTAGGAAAGATTAGAACTTTTATAGACAATTTGGTGAACAGATGAGATTGGTAGTCACATGGGTAGTCATCGTCCCCCCTCCCTAACTTATACCCGGATTTCATCTTTTTACAAGGGCAGTCCTTCAGCCCCCCCCCCCTTGCCCCTCCTTGTCTACGCCACTGATAGGACGTGATTGCCCTGGGTATGCCCGAAGTGGGGTGTCAGGAATTTAAATTACTACCTGTGTAGAGAATGTGCCTCTCAGTCCAATGCTGTTCGCAATCATCCAATAAACCAAGTTTCTGTCAACCTCAATCTTAATACAATATCTGTATTTGGTAGGCAATCTTGTTAGTTGTTCCTTAATAATTATGTAATTTTTACTTGATTGAGTTAAAGAGTATATTTCCCCAGGTTCCTTCTTACAAACCTTCTTACATCCATAAACCAACAGGTCCGAATCCTCTGTGATCCCAAAATCTGCATGGCCATTTAAAAGCACGTGAGCAATTTTTGCATCAGTTTCATAAGGTGCACAACATACTTTACATTGTGTGCCAAACAAATCTTTCAAAGAAAATAAATAGAGAACGCGTTAATAGTTTATAAATACACTGCCGCAATATCACTGCCATTATTTATTTCGCCCACAAATTAATATCATTGTTTTATACAGACAAGTTTGTCTACTAATGTAATTACATACATTTATAATATGCAAACGACAATATCTTCGAAGGTCTTCGATGCAGCTCGGCTCTGTAACATATTTGCTTCAGATTTTGATGTCTGGTTTTTCAGCCTGTTTTAAAACCTTTTCACGTACACTGCAAACAAAATATAAAACTTAAGAAATAAAACACGACAAGTTTGGGTCTTAACGCACTGGGAATATTGGACAAAACAATACAACAATATTAACAATAACAACATTGACTTTCTTATAATATGTACTCACATTTGCCGTCTTTCATGTTCGCTAGCTTTTGCAGGCAGTGCAAATCCGTCGAAGACAACAAATGGTATAACCCCGGTTTTTTTACTATCCGTAGATGTGCTTCAAAAATATCACCAAGTCTATAAATATCAGTATAAATATAAACAAACTTCGATTCGTTATAAGGTCTTAGGCTAAACGTACCATATGTATAATATTTTTCATAATATTATTTTATAATATGTGAATTATCAGTTCAACAAAATTTCCCAAGAAATTGCTTACCTTTCGCGACTTCCAGTTCTGTCAATAGATACACATTAACGCCTTGTGTATCCAACAAGAAGCGTCTATTGCTACAGTTTGAATATTCATGCAAAACCTTTTGAAATTGATGTTCACTCAATCATAGTCAACATGCAAATGAACGGATTTTTATTTTCGCCCATCATGCTTTGCGCTGCCAGTTCGCACACCGCCTGCCGGTTTATATAATAAATTTACAAGGTATGGAAAAATGACAGTGCATTTTTATCGCAATGAGCAATTTATTTTAAAAATATACAACTACAAGACGTTTTTTAAACAAGGGAATTAAACATGGGAGTGATGAAACTTTATTTTGTATTGCATTTGCAAGATTCGTCTCAAGATTTCAGTTACGAGCTTATTTGCATGCAGTATGTTTGATTTGCAAACGATCGACAATATTTTGAATAATTCGGGTTAGGATAGCTTTAATTCTTTCTGGTGATATACATGAAAGGATTTATATTTAGATCTGTTGTTTACTTTACTTTACATGTTCCCTATATATATATATTTCCCCACTAACGTGTTTGCTCCACTTTTCGATCCTAAGAAAAAGCTGAAAGGCTTCCTGAAAGAAGGGAGCAAAGACGCCGACGTTAATGTAATGATAATAATGGTATAAGTTTATTTTAAATATTAATGTATTGTTTTCTTTAAAATTGCTTTAAAGCTGATCGTTGCATATATAAATGAAAAAAGACAGCATACAGGGTGTCTAAAAAAACCGCTGTGGAAATTCAACCGGCTGTCGTTCATTATCAACTTTGCTAAACAATTCAATTTTTCACATAGAACGAAAGAACAGTTATTTAGCCTTTCGATACCTTTTTAAAATCGTAACGATGAGAAATGGCCACGCAATCGTCAAATCAAAATTGCCGGTCGAAATCACATTCTTCCACCGTTAGGAATTGCATGGAAAACGAAACATAGACAATTCCCAAGGGGGATTTAAAGTGGCACTCGCGTCAAAATTTTTATTTTATTAAACGAAAATGCTGTTAAAACTGTATAGTAGCTTGTTTTGAACATTTTTGTTCCCATGCTTAGTTCTTGAGATACTTCGTTTTGTTTGTAACCATGTGACGTCATTGACTCAATTACATATATAATGAGATATCAGTATAATTGTTGTGTATCTTTGCTATTTTTGATGGATTCGTTTAAAAAAACAGTATGCTTAAAGAGTCATTGTCAACCACAATGCATTGTGCGCCCAAACCTGCTTGGCGGCCATTTTAATGGCGGAATAATAGATGTTTCGGTTTTCAATCCATAATATAGTACTACCATGCTGTGGTTATACTTGCTCATTTTAAATTTTATATACTAAAATTGCACCAGAGAAATTTTATAATCGTCATTTGTTGCTATTTGTACTTCCAAAAGCCGGTAAGATGTAAACAGATGCATTGTGGTTGACAATGACTCTTTAATAATGTATGTTATATTAACACTATTTTTATTTGAAATATTTGAAATATTAGATAAATTTTGCATGTTGTGGTTGAAATTGAATATTTCATATAGTTAAGTTTAACTATATAGTTCCCATAAGTTCGTAATTATTGAGTAATTTATTTTGAATGGCAACTTAATATTTCTAATATAACAATGCAAACATGTGGCAGCTGTATCTGAAATATTAATATACGCCAAAATGAGCGCCAGCGATAAAAATGCGTTCTTTAAGGCACATGTCAGCAAAGGTATTCAAGGTAAAATGGGTCCTAGTTGTGTTTTACAATTATTTGCTTATATTTTCTCAACTGATCATTTTCATTTTTCAGTATTCATCGTAGTACAACCTTCGTAATGTGTCAAGTGCTGTGGCTCATAGTTGTTGCTGTCGCAGGCACGTGTGTTTCTCGCGTTCAATGTCAGTTCAACAATGCGTCAAGTGGAATGCATGAATGGATGCCACAAGACCATACACATCTTCGCACCGAAGGTAAGGCGTATTTTAACCTTTACAGCTAAAACTGCCACGTGGTATAAAAAAGTCGAGCAAATGTAATTTTGTGTACATGTGAACATGTCACTAAATAAAAGCTGCTCGAGTCACTACAATCGTACATTGGAGAGGGAATGTCAACAAACACCTTTTAATGGTATTGCAAATAAATAATTGCTTATTTAACCCTAGCTAATCTGTGCATTTTTGGCCTCGATAATTCTGAGGTGACTCCCACCACTACCATCCCCCTATACGGCTTTTCCCATGTATTGTTTCCAGAAGCGCCAAATAAAATTTGTTGCAACCAACTTTCATTTTTATTGTTACAGTATTGTATTGTTGTGGGTGGGTAGGATGGCAGTTGGGACTCCAGTCCTATATCCAACCACTGCCAGTTAGAGTCTTGGAATTTGTGATATTTGTGTGTGTGCATGGTATGTAAGTTATTGGCAAATTTAGTAAATTAAAATTCAAACTAAAATTTAATTAAGTGGTGAATGTAGGTATGTCTTTTCAAATTTGTAAGGCAACTAGATGTACTGAAGTGTAACAATTAACATTTATTTACTGGGAGCGAGGGAAACAGTTTATTTGGCGGACCCGAGACCGTCGATGTTGTAAATGAACGTAAATATACGAAATATTTTGTTGTTAAAACGTTAAATTAAACACTGCAGTTACATAAAGCGAAAGTTTAAATTACTAGGCATGTCCAAAGCTCGCATCATCGCGAGATGGCGCACGTGATTTTTTTCGTTATTCGCTGGTCGATAACGTATTATCTCCCTCTCACGCTGTTGCGAGGGAGACAGCCTATTTTCGTCACTCTCACGTGATATGCTCTCGACCAATAAAACACTACTGCAATCTGATTGGTTAAGAAGAGTGCGAATATTTCCTTAATTGCACTCACTAGGAATTGCATTACTTGCACTCACTAGGAGGCAATGAATGATTTGAAAAATAAAAATAAAAATGGCGGCTTGCTTTGTAAATACAAACGAGTCTGCAATTCACTTACTAAAACAGTGACGTAGCCATCTCGATAATTGGGGCGGGAGGCTCATATTCATAAAAAACAATCGATTTCAAAAGAAATTAATAATGCAGAAAACGAATATATATGAATATGCTCCCCGCACTAATTATCGAGCTGGCTACGCCACGTGAGTTTTAGGGTCATTCAATTTTCTACCATTTTGAAATACGAGAATCAGTTTATTTTTTACAAAAACAACTTTTATTTCAAATGCACCATTGGTTATTGCACCACTTACATTGCATTAACTTCACTAATGAAAAACGAAGTACTAGTCAGTAGAAAAACGACAGATTAAGATTGAAAATGTTAAGAAACGCATTTTTATACAAGTGTATGGACAAATATGTACAAAATTCAATCAATTTTGTCCAATTCTCGGTAAGAAGAGTGTCTTAGCGTTTTCCATTTAAAATTTTTGCTTTAGTAGGTCAATTGTTTTTTTGCGTGCTATATTCTGAATGCGTAATGAGATAACTTGTGGGCCAACAGATCACACGATTAGTTGGATTTTGGAGGGTTTAGTACCGTTGAAGAGGTAATTCGATGAATGGCCATGCATGCACTTGGGTATTGACGAATTACCTAACCGAGTTACTATATATGTTATTGCTGTGCTCGAGTGCCGAGAACACTACCTCAGTACCTCTCCGAACAAAACACTCCAGCAACGCAGGAGAGAGGGTTTTGAAGGCACTCGAACCCTCCGTCAACACAGTCCAGCACTATGCCATTACCGCGGCAACGGACATCAGTACGTAAAACGGAGTACGAATATAGAGCTAGTAAGCTTTACTGGACCAGCGGGTTTGCTTCGCTTGTGGATGCAGCATTTCACTACAAAGAAAGACTAATTCTTTCAAGTAAGATTCACGAAACTTTTTTATAACTTTCTAGACTCACTAGACCCTTCATATTATATCAAAAACTCATCCTAATATATACAGCAAATATTTCAATAGGGGACATAAAAGTATTGTTAATGATTAAACATTGTGCACATGAAATTATGTTGTTTTGTGTCAGCACTGGCCTAATGGTTTTATTGCCAGTTTTTAATTTATACTAAAAATTGTGGTTGTTTAATTACATGTTCATATATTTTAAAACGTTTATTAAATATGGTGTGAAATTTATATACTTGCCCATCACAGTGCAGAATTAGTATATATAGATAAGCACAAGACCAGAGAGAGTTGAGCCGTAGAGGAGGCTCACCTACATGTGACAATCCATCCATGTGCCCTGTCCTGATGAGCCCTAAAGACTGTCTTTATTATTTTATTCTGTCTAATGCCAGACGATCTTAAGGTGATTAAGACTAAATGAGAGTGCTCCCTGCTGTCACGCAGTGGGTAATTACACTATCGGCAAATGAACAGCCCCTGAGATATATAGTCAGCCCATTAAGCTGCAATTTTACTCAATCTGTGAGATGAAATCCAGATGTTTTACTCATCAAGGGAAGAGTCTTAAAAATAGATATCATTTTGCCATTGTCTGTTTAGAACTATGTAAAACTACTATATAGTTTTACACAGCTTGTTGGCGCAACAAAAATGTTGCCCACAAGCTGCTGGGATTTAAGTGAGTCACTGATACACTAATGAAGTAAATTTGGAATGCTACAACATTTCTAACAAGGGTGGATTTTCATTTATTTAAAAGGAGGGGTAGAAAAACTTCTGGTGGAGAGCAAGTAGCACCACTCAGTGAGCTTTGGCAGGTT